GGGAGTTTTTCAAAAACTACTATAAGTACTCCCTCACAAATCATAATACTGAAAGATATATAGGGCACTATTTGAAGAAAAAATTGCAATGTTAGTCCTGTATGTTATCAACCATAACTTTTTGGTCCCCTTCGAAGAATTGTTGTTTTGAATTTCGTCCCTTATGTTTGCAATAAGGTTACAAAAAGAGGTCCTTTTCACAACAAAAAGGTCCCCTTTGAATTTGCAAAAATAAAAAAAAAGTTGCATTTTCGTCCCTTGTGTATCTTGGGGACGAAAAAGTTAGAGTAGTGAAACATACAGGACTAAAACTGCAATTTTCTCCTATTTAAATTAAGCTTGCGTTGAGGGAAATTTTCCTCAACAACTTTTAAAAAAGAAACGTTGTTAAGTTCACACAAATTCCAACTTCAGTGGTGGCAAAGAAGAAATTGAATTGAAGCTAAGTCACAGTCGAGAATCGAGATAGTCTCTGTCCAAAGACTCCAGACATGAGACTTAACAGCACGGTTATTCTTTCCACATGAATATACCTGACATAGTCTATAATTCAGGAAATGGTCTATTTTATGTACTTATTTATTTATTTATTTATTACTATTATTCAGTTCTGGCCAAATCAAAGGAGAATCTGCCCAGGCAATAAATAAATAAATAAATAAAAAATAAGAGAAAAAGTCTTATGCATTGTCCTGGAAAAATAAGTCTTATTTAGTTCACCACTTAGTAGATTCGCTGTAAGAGTAGCATCAAAATTTCTTTAGTTCCTTTACTGTCCTTCATGACTACTGTTCTAGAAAATGACATGGCAGATATATATGGACTGATTGGCAGTTTGAGAGAAGCAAAAATATGGCATACCTTGCGTTGAAGTGATGCAAGAATATGGTCCAGCCGCTTAAGTTCCTTAATGTCAATGGTCTCTTTGGCAGCTTTTGTTTCAGAGGATTTACTCTCGTTTTCAGAATCAACTGCCATTAATACAATATGCATTAATACTTGATCGATGCAATGCATGAAATGAAGCTTGAGCAAGAAATAACTGGATGATTTTCAGAACACAAAAGAAGAACTTTTTATGCTATTGGCTATCAAACCCAACCACTGCTTTTGATTTTTTTAAAAGATGAAAGGCGGTATTTCACTAAAATTTTAGGCACAATGGTAGATTCATTTTGCATCACCACTTGTATTTCTTTTGAAGTTCAAGAAAAATACCATATCCAATTTTCTCCAACTTTGATGCTGCAGTATTAAAAGACTTTGATATATGGTACAGAGCACGTCCCTGCCAAAAAAGCAAGAAGGTTCCCATTAAACAAGCAATTCAAGGACTTTTCAGTATTCAAAATATACCATCTAGAGTCTGCCAAGAAAGGGATAATAAATCAGTTCCATCATAATACTTATCCTAAACTAAGAATAGTACATTAGCCCTTATTCTCAATCTTCCATATAATCACATTTTTTCATAAATTAATAAACTATCAAATGTCACCAGAAAAAAGTAAGCAAACCCACACCATCACAATTCAGTATTTCACAAGACCTTCAGTTAAGTTCTCTAGCAAGGAGCACTTAGCCAAGAAACAATTATTCGATATCCTATGAAATTAAAACCCTAATAAGTGAACAATGGCAATCCGACTATAAACTATATATAGGACTCGAGGAAACGAAGAATGATAGGGAAACTAAATCACAGCACACAGTAAACAATAAACCAACTTGCAGCAATTGCACCTCATATGCAAACATTCAAAAACAAACCGTATAAACCTCCATCACCAAGAAATCATCCAAACACAATACAACCACATATTACCACCAGTTACCAAAAAAAAAAAGACACGAGAGGGTGAAGGATCACTAACAACTCGAGATGCAAACACGTTGCAAAGCTGAGGCGCTTGGTATATTGAACCATCCAAAATGTAATAAGTTAGCATGGGCGTCACTTTCTCAGGGCCATCCCTCTTTTGCTTCCTAAAGACAAATAGATGCGGCTCCAATACTTCACTCAACATAAACTCTGTTCCGGTCATCTTCCTTCATGGGCATATAGTAACTCATTACATATCCATCAAATTTCAATTCGACAGATCATATAAGTAGAAAAACTTAATTTTTAGCAAAATTCCACCTTGCATAAGCAAGCAACGCATAAACAATTTAAAAAGATAAATGCTCCATCTCCAGTAACTGGGCTCAATTATACAATCAATGCTAAAATTAACAGAAGTGGTAATTTTGTTATCAACCCGTGTGTGTTTCAATAAACAATATTTAACACAATTTCTTGTCATTAGACAAGAAAACAGATTACGCCATTGANGAAGAGAAAAAAAAAAAAAAAAAGAAAAACCCAATTTTCTGAGAAAGAGTACGATTGAGAATACCCACACAAAAGCTACAAACTTACGAAAGCTGTGATATATCGAGGGGGTGAATAGCGCGGAGGCGAAGCTGCTCGTTATTACACGAGTAATCGTAGAACGGAGACAAGGCGAAGTAATCGAAAACTAGGTTTCGATCGAGTGGATATGTGTTTAGCCATAGCTGGTCCCGGAAGCTGATTCCGGTCATGTCAGTTCCGGGAGGCGGTGGAGCTTGTGCTGGTGGCGTGATGCCGTCCATGGCCGGATTTGCGCCGGCGGCAGGTGGGATCATCGGAGTTGTCGCCATTGCTGAAAGAGGTATTGCGATTGGGACTCAAAAGTAAATCTGTGTGCGCTAAAATGTAAAAGAAAAATAAGATGAAACCATAAAATGGTAAATCCAGATATGACTTCAAAAGTTTTGAAATTTATGAAATTGTACAATGATTTGTTAAACTAATTGCTGTTTAGTAGTACAAGTTAGGGCTGCACAATCGGTTAAAACCGAACCGAACCGACCGAATTTCGGTTCGACCAATATTAAAACCGAAAACCGAACCGAAAACTACGATTCGGTTCGGTTTGACACCGAAAATTTATCGGTTGTTTCGGTTCGGTTATCGGTTATCCGACAAAATGGAGAAATGACAAAAATAAAATTTACAAATAACAATAGATACAGATTGTCTCCAATAAATCAGTATTCAATAAATGCATAACTCTCAGAAATCATCTGAAATTCAGAATCCGATTCAATTCAAGAGCAAGCCCATCAAAAAATTCAAGTTTTTTATTAGTATTACAGTAGGTCACAGAAGCAGATTGGTTCAACATGTCAGTATGTCACAACAATTTGGAAACCCACAAGCCACAACCGTACAGCTCAAATCATAGGCATAAGAATTAACCCAAAAAAATATGAGCTCAAATTGGGTGGGTGCAACCCGTACAATGAATCACGACTCACAGGCCCAAAGAAGAATGAGAGATTCAAAGCCAGAAAAGAAAATTACGAATCTGAGTTGCAGCCCTTACGAGGGGATTTGGGTGGCGAACTCAATTGAGGAGACGAGTGTCACGACGGCCTGCGGGGTGGAGTGTGTGCGGGAGCAAGAACGACCGAGCAAGGCGATGTGAGATTTCAAAATTCCGGCGATTTTGTGCGCCGACGCTGAGCAAAGGGAGATGGAGCGGGTGATTTTGTGCACCGTGCGGCGGACGGGCGGAGAAGTGCAGTGCTAGGTGGGGTTTTCTGGAGGATGAGACGATGAGTGACCGTGAGAGACGATTTGTTCCTGGAGGATAATATCTTTTTTTGTCGATGGAATTGGACTATTGGAGTAATAAATTGGGCCTGCTTAGTGCTTTGGGGTGGGCGGCCCGTTCACTAATGGCAATTGGATTGAATAATATATACTGGGCCTTTTTTAACTTATATAATATCGGTTTTCGGTTCGGCTCGGTTAACCGACGGATTGTAACCAAACCGAACCGAAAATCGAAAAATTAAGAAACTTAAAACCGATAACCAAACCAATTTGTCGGTTTCGGTTTCGTTATCCAAAATTTGTGCAGCCCTAGTACAAGTAAATCATAACACTTGCAAATTCGAAACCAAAGTTACGATGAAGCATGTATTATTTCAGGGAATTGGCATAGCTAGTGTATGAACATAATGTGTATTAGAAACTGCAAATGTAATACTCAAAAAATAAATATCAGCGACATTCTCGATTCACATCCACACAATTGCAAACTTATAATTACAAAGATTTAAACTTTCAGTCTTCCAGCAATTGTTTGGAACATATCAACAAAGCTACACCGACACATAACACAAAGTTCCAACTAAAATTCAACGAAATTTAAACAAAGCTCACAGCAAAATTAGAAATCATACAGAAACCAACAAAAGTCAACACTTAACCAAACTAAGCAAGCCTAATTAAAACCCTCCAATGACAATATTAAGAATTTCAAATTTCGGCCAATACCTGAGTACGACCAGGGGTTGCCGGAAGGTGGGCGTCAAAGCGTCAAACTAATT